GAAGGAGAAGGAGGAGATCAAGGAGAAGGAGGAGATTCTCATCCTTCTTCTCAGGATCCTTGACTTCTTCTTCAGATGAAGGAGAAGGAGGAGATGAAGAATCCTTCTCCTTCTTCTTCTTCTCATCCTGAGGAGGAAGGAATCCTTCTCCTTCCTTCTCATCCTTCTCCTTGATGATCATTCTCTTCAGGAGAAGGATGAAGGGGAAGGAGGAGCTGAAGGAGAAGGAGAAGGAGGCGATCATCCTTCTGAGGAGATGAAGGAGAAGGAGGGAGATGAGGAGAAGGAGGAGGATGAAGGAGAGGGATCCTGAAGGAGGAGGAGGAGATCCTTCTCGATGATCTCCTTCTTCTCAGGAAGGAATCCTTCTCCTTCTTGAAGGAGAAGGCGGAAGGAGGAGGAGGCGATGAAGGAGAAGGAGGAGATCCTTCTTTCTCATCCTTCTCCTTCTTCTCATCCTTCTCCTTGAAGGAGAAGGAGGAGATGACAGGAGAAGGAGGAGAGGAAGGAGAAGGAGAAGGAGGAGAAGGATCCTTCTGAGATGGAAGGAGAAGGAGGAGATGAAGGAGAAGGAGGAGAAGGAGGAGGAGAGGATCCTCAGGAGGGAGGAAGGAGGGAGGATGAAGGAGAGAGGAAGGAGAGGAGGAGGAGATGAAGGAGAAGGAGGAGATGAAGAGAGAGGAGAAGGAGGAGATGAAGGAGAAGGAGGAGATGACGGAGAAGGAGGAGGAGATGAAGGAGAAGGAGGCCTTCTTCTCAGAAGGAGAGGATTCTCCTTCTCTATCATTCTTCTCCCTTCTGAGGAGAAGGAGGAATCTCCTTCTCCTTCTGAAGGAGAAGGAGGAGATTGATGAAGGAGAAGGAGGAGATGAAGGAGAAGGAGGCGATCCTTCTCCCTTCTTCTCATCAGGAGATCTCTTCTCATGAAGGAGAAGGAGGAGATCTCCTCTTCTCAAGGAGGAGATGGAAGGAGAAGGAGAAGAAGGAGGATCATCTTCTCCTTCTCCTTCTTTCTCATCCTTCTCCTTCTTCTTCTTCATCCTTCTCCTTCTCCTTCTTCTCATCCTTCTCCTTCTCCTTCTTCTCATCCTTCTCTTCTTCTCATCCTTCTCCTTCTTCTCCTTCCTTCATCCTTCTCTTCTTCTCATCCTTCTCCTTCTTCTCATCCTTCTCCTTCTCCTTCTTCTCATCCTTCTCCTTCTTCTCTCATCCTTCCCTTCTTCCTCATCTCTCCTTCTCCTTCTTCTCCTTCTTCTCATCCTTCTCCTTCTTCTCATCCTTCTCCTTCTTCTCATCTTCTCCTTCTCCTTCTTCTCATCCTTCTCCTCTTCTCATCCTTCTCCTTCTCATCCTTCATCCTTCTCCTTCTTCTCATCCTTCTCCTTCTTTCTCCTTCTTCTCATTCTTCTCCTTCTCCTTCTTCTCATCCTTCTCCTTCTCCTTCTTCTCATCCTTCTCCTTCTTCTCATCCTTCTCTTCTTCCTTCTCCTCCTTCTTCTCATCCTTCTTCTCATCCTTCTTCCTTCTTCTCATCCTTCTCCTTCTTCTCATCCTTCTCCTTCTCCTTCTTCTCATCCTTCTTCTTCCTTCTTCTCATCCTTCTCCTTCTTCTCTCATCCTTCTCCTTCTTCTCATCCTTCTCCTTCTTCTCATCCTTCCTCTCATCTTCTCCTTCTCCTTCTTCTCTTCTTCTCTTCCTTCCTTCTCATCCTTCTCCTTCTTCTCATCATTCTCCTTCTTCTCATCCTTCTCCTTCTTCTCATCCTTCTTCTTCTCATCCTTCTTCCTTCTTCTCATCCTTCTTCTTCTCATCCTTCTTCTTCTCATCCTTCTCCTTCTCATCCTTCTCTTTCTTCTCATCCTTCTCCTTCTCCTTCTTCTCATCCTTCTCCTTCTTCTCATCCTTCTCCTTCTCCTTCTTCTCATCCTTCTCCTTATTCTCAGCCTTCTTCTTCTCATCCTTCTCCTTCTCTCTCATCCTTCTCCTCTTCATCCTTCTTCCTTCTTCTCATCCTTCTCTTCTTCTCATCCTTCTCCTTCTCCTTCTTCTCATCCTTCTCCTCATCTTCTCCTTCTTCTCATCCTTCTCCTTCTCCTTCTTCTCATCCTTCTCCTTCTTCTCATCCTTCTCCTTTCTTCTCACCTTCTCCTTCTCCTTCTTCTCATCCTTCTCCTTCTCCTTCTTCTCATCCTTCTCCTTCTCCTTCTCCTTCCTCATCTCCAAGGGCATTTAAATTAAAGGTACAGTGTTCTGCACTAATTTAAAGGCTCTCTGAAGCCTAGAAACCCTTTAAATAAGTCATCTTCGTAGCGGAGAAATTCGCATCGAATCGAATTTCACACTGGAATTCGCCGAATATAGTTTATCCTTCATGACATAAACTACATAACTATCAGCATGAGAAATAATTGCACAAACAGAAATATGCTTTTGGTAGATACCTTTCATGAAAATGTCAAATGAGAGATTTGCCTAAGTTAAGTATTATATCAGTTTCAGGCTGCATTTCTGCATCATATCTTTGAAAAGTACTTATTTTTATGTATTGGAAATCATTCATTCAAGGATTAATGTATTTGAATTTTCAGCATCAAAAACGAAGTGATGGATTATCTTCTCACCCAGGGAGTGACCACAGTGAGAGCCCAGTCTGAATGGCTTACTCACTGCTCCATGTATCTTCTGTTGTTAGGTCAGCAATCCTTTCCAGATATGAACTGCTTTATCATATCATATTAAATTTAATCCTCTCTTGCCTCATTGTCCACGAGAGGCTGGACGTTTAGAGTTATTATTTGTTATTCAATTCTTTATCAGGGTTTCTAGTATGCAGTAACTTTGCCTATATTTTTTTTTTTCCTTTAAAGCCTACTGGCCAAATTTGTCAGGCTGAGTATTTAAATTAAAAATTATGGATTTTGTTTTAAAAAAGGATAATAAAATGACATTTGATTCTGTTTTAACATTTCATTTAGAGTTGATTGTATTTCATCATTAATATGCATGTTGTCCAGAGGCAAAATTAAAATGCTATAGGACTTTAGTTCAAACCATCTATGAAAACAATGGTGTTGTCCTACACATTTGTGCACCTTCTTAGATTTTCATGTATGGGTTCAGTGTGGCTGTCTTTGATTGGAGATTGCCGGAATTGTGTTCTGCAAGAAGGTTTTCCTACCTAGACACATGTAAGCAACCTGGATTTGCTGCTGCTTACCATAAAGCTTGGCCAGGGGTCCCACGTAGCTTTTTCTCGAAATGGGGCACACACATCCTTGTCTTTAGGAGAGACTCCTGCTTAAAACTGTGGGTCAAAAAGACAGTTTCAGTGACATGATGGGGTTGATTTACTAAAACTGGAGAGTGCAAAATCTGGTGCAGCTGTGCATGGTAGCTAATCAGCGTCTAACTTCAGCTTGTTCAATTAAGCTATGACAAAAAAAAAAAACCTGGAAGCTGAAGGTTTCTATGCAGACCTGCACCAGATTTTGCACTCTCCACTTTTAGTAAATCAACCGTGATATGTTGTACATTGAGGCAGCCCAATAATGCAAACTGAGTAAAACACCCCCACCAGCTAAATACACAGATGAAATATGTAATACTGTAAATGGGAGAAGTTGTACCTGCCAAAGGATTAGTATTTCTTTCTATCCAGATCTGACAGCATAGCCATATCTGGCAAAATGTGAGACCTTATTTTTCTTTCGTGCTGCAGTTCAATAATACTTACAGGCCTTCTCCCTCCCTCAGTCTATGACTAGACAGTGAAAGGAGAAGCAGCAAACTGGTGATCTCATCTTCCTTTCAGTCCACTCTCTACTTTGATTAGCATGTTGCTTATTAGCACAGTAGCTCCTCTGTGTGCTGCATTTTCGTTTCCTAGTCTGAGCCCTGCTGTACAGGGACTGCAAGAGGCTGATAAAAGGTCAAGTTAAAGTACTTATCCTGCTTGCATTTAAAAAATGTATTAATTATTACAGAACAACATAATTTGTGTCTTTTATTTATTATATATATTTTATATTTGCTTGGAGTTTAGCTTTAGAATTTAACTGTTGTATATTTACTTGTCTGTAGCTACAACATTTTAATGGCAAATATGCTTGTATTTTTTAACAAACTCAGCAATTGATTTTATTTGTGAGGACTAGCTTCAAGTGGTAGTGCATTAGGGCTTAGCCATTCACTGAATTCTACTTTTTAAGGGCTTTTCTTGTCCATGTTTATTAAAAGAAAGTTCAACACGGTTCTAGAGATCAAACAAGTTTCCCTTGCAGGGGTTTTCAGCATTTATATTCCATCCAAAGAAATACACACTTGGCCTTTGCAGCCTACATCTGCAGTGCTGCGGCTCAGGCCTTACCCTTTAGGCCCTTTTTCTGCCTCCTACAGATAGTCTTCACTCCGGTTCGGTTCATACAACTGGCAGCTCCTTGCTGCTCTGGTCCCCACCTGTCTCTCCTAAGTGGAACCCTCCTGACTCCTGGCAGTAACCTCCTCTTTCTGTTGGGGTGGAGGCCAGCACTATGATCGGGTCTCTACAAAAAGTCCTGAACACATATGTATAGTCAGTGCGTTGGCTGTTCAGAAAATACGAACCCAGGACTGGAGATTTCATCCCTCTCAAATATCTTGGAAACCTCTGTACTCCAGGTCCTAAACTGGGTTTTACCAACTGATGAGGAAACTGGAAAAAAACAGTTTCCTCTGAATTAAGAAAACCACCTGGGGCCCCCAAATTTCCTGGATAAGAATCCTGGGTCATAACCTCTACTTACATAGTGGCAGGGCAACTGCCACAATTACATGAATAAATGCATAACTGAAAAGTGATCACCCCATATCAGTTTTATAGCTCTGTTCCCAACCATCTTTGAGTTTCTGATGTTGCTTCCCACCTGGAGTGTTCCACTCTTCCTCTTGTATTCTTCATAAAATAGAACAAAATGTTATTCTAACAGGAAGAGTGGGACCCCTTGGTACTGGCTATGGCATGTATGCAGGGGCGGACTGACAACTCATGGGGCCCCCGGGCAATAGAGGATCATGGAGCCCCTGTGTCCTTGCCCAAACTCAAAAAAGCCTATGAAAAAGGTACCAGGGGCATCTCATGGGGCCCCCTACTGATCCCGGGCCCTCGGGCAGTGCCTGAGTTTCCAAATGGTCAGGCCGCCCCTGCATGTATGCATGCAAGGACCTGAACCACAGAGGTATAAAGAAAGTGAATTCTACATGAATTATCTGCCCTTACTCAGGATGGTCACAGCCAGAAATGCTATGGGATGTTTTTCACTCTCTCAATCAACATTGACTACTTTTAATCCTTATACTGCTAGCATTAGTAAATAAATAGGAAGGTATATTATATTTTCTTGTTTTAAACTTTTTTTTACATTTCTTCAGTTGCTTCCTGGTTACTGGCCTAAGCAAAAGATGTAATACATCCTAGGAGTCTTCAGGAGATACATTCTCAGCTAAGCACACCCTCCTGTCTGCATGCCTGTGCTAAAGGCTTATGGTTTCCAGGAAGCAAATGCTACATGAATAATCTGCCATTACACAAGATGGCCATGGCTACAAAATGCTAGAGGGTGTTTTTAAAAGTGATTTTTCAACAAAATAAAGCATTGAGACATGATGGATGGATGTGCTTGCTTTCAATATTAAAAATGAATTAAATAGCGTTTTTGGTTTATGGTGTTCAGATGCAGTGTAGTTCCGCTTTAACGTCACCCTCTTTGAACCTCTCACAATACTATAACTGTCAGCTTCTTTTCTGGGGTTTCCAGAGTCATTGGAGAATAGAACCCTTTGCTCTTATCCCCTGGGTGTTCATCTGATTCTTGCGGATTTGTCTGACAAAATGGAGTATGAGCTTATATAGCTAAAATGTACATCCCTGTGCGCTTTATAGCATTATGGAACAGTCAGTCTCCCAGCGGGAAAACAGTTGTAAAGACCTTAGAAAAAATATTGTTCTAATTCTTTTCCACTTTACAAAAAAAGTTTTATTCTACTGTATCCAAAACTATCCCCCCCCCTACAAAAAAAAGTTTTGACTGGACTTGAAAGTGATCCTTGAAATCTCCTAGTTAAAATCAGCTGAACGTGAAATGGTATAATATCCAGAAAACTTAAAATCATTGGCTAAAGAAACAAGCAAAATGTAACATATTGCAGCTTACCAGTTCTAAAATATGACATCTGCATTATTATTGGTTTTTCAGCCTTTTTTTCTATACTTGCACTTGGTAATCCTGCAAATTAGGGAGCCCATAGGCGATAGTCTGATAGATTGAGGTAGAGAGTTCCAAAGGATGGGGGAGGCTTTGGAGAAATCCTGGAGATGAGCATGAGAGGAGGAGACAAGGGAACTAGAGAGCAAGAAGTCGTGGGAGAAGCGGAGAGTACAGTCTGGGTGATATTTGGAGACAAGATTGGTGATGTAATTTGGGGCAGAGTTATAAATGGCATTATATGTGATTGTTAATATTTTGAATTTTATTTGTTGGGCAATGGGAAGCCAGAGGAGGGATTGGCAGATATGGAATGGTTGGTAAGGTGGATGAGTCTGGTAGCAGCATTCATGATAGACTGAAGAGGGGATAGCCTGCGATGAGGTAGGCCAATGAGGAGGGAGTTACAATAGTCAAGGCGAGAGATAACAAGGGAGTGAATAAGTTGCTTAGTAGTTTCAGAGGTTAAGAATGGGTGTATCTTGGAGATGTTGCGGAGGTGAAGTCTACAAGATTTGGACAGCGATTGGATTTGGGGCTGAAATGACAGATGGGAGTCTAGGATTACACCGAGTACCCTGGCATGAGGGGAGGGACTGATGGTTGTACTATTGATCTTGATGGAGAAGTCAGTGGAGGGGGCATGGGTTGGAGGGAATAGTATGAGCTCAGTTTTCAAAAGATTGAGTTTTAGAAAGTGAAGCAAAGACGTAGCAGAATACATTTTGGCCTAAATATATGATGAAATTGGATTTTTATAATTTTTTTATTGGATATATTTTATAGTAAAAGTAAAAAATATTGTTTTTTTTTTTTTAAAATTGCCGTTTTTTATTGTTTATAGCGCAAAAATTAAAAAACACAGAGGCAATCAAATACCACCAAAAAAGAAAGCTATATTTGTGGAAAAAAAAGAACATACATTTCATTTGTGCAGTGTTGTATGACCGCAATTTTCAGTTAAAACACAGCGAGGTATCACAAAAAAAACCTGGTCAGGAAGGGGAGTAAATCCCCCGGAGGGCAAGTGGTTAATGATTACAGAGCTGCATTCATTTGAGCCTTTTATATCTACCTAGAGTTCATCTTTAAAGTCCACTTGCCGACCGCGCATAGCCGAATGACGGCTTCACCGCGGCCGGCCAGTTCTGAGTTGGACGTTCATTTGACGTCCTCCCAGAACGCGTCTCCTGCGCGCCCCAGGGGCGCGCGCACCCGGCGATCTCCGTGATCGCTGTGTCCTACGGACACAGCTGATCACGAGATGTGGTGAAAGGCCGATACCGGCCTTTAACCACGTGATCATGTCCAATGACACGCTTGATCACAGGAAAATGCAAGTGCCGGTTCTCGGCTGCACTTTCCTCACGCTGTCAGATCGTGAGGAAAGTACTGGTCAGAGCGGGGATCGGCACCGATCATCAGGGCACTGATGAACATCCCTGATGATTCGGTGCCCAGCAGTGACCCCCGCAAGTGATCAGCTGTGCGCCCACTAGCCCCGCCCACCCCATTCCCAGCAGTGCCCCCACCTGTGCCCAGCAGTGCCCCCACCTGTGCCCAGCAGTGCCCCCACCCTGTGCCACTCTGCAGTGCCACCTACCTGTGCCCAGCAGTGCCACCTACATGTGCCCAGCAGTGCCACCCACCTGTGCCCACCCACCTGTGCCCACCAGCGCCACCCACCTGTGCCCACCAGGCCACCCACCTGTGCCCAAGTGCTGTCCACCAGTGCCAACCCACCAGTGCCACCCACCAGTGCTGCCAGTCAGTGCCACCAGTCAGTGCCCAGGGGTTGTGCCAGTCAGTGCCGCCAAGTGCCCAGAAAGTGAAGTCAGTGCCGTCTATCAGTACCCATCATCATGTCACCTATCAGTGCCGCCTATCAGTGCTGCATATCAGTGCCGCCTATCCGTGACCCCTAATTAGTGCTGTCTATCAGTGCCGCCTATCCGTGCCACCTCATTAGTACTGCCTATCAGTGCCCTTTAGTGCTGCCTATCAGTGCCCATCAGTGCCGCCTATCAGTGCCCATCAGTGCCGCCTCATCAAAAATCAGTGAAGGAGAAAAAAATACCTGTTTGAAAAATTTTATAAAAGAAACAAATAAACTTTTTTTTTTTTCAAATTTTTTGCACTTTTTTTAATTTATAGCGCAAAAAGTAAAGCGCCCAGTGGCGATTAAATACCACCAAAAGAAAGCTCTATTTGTGAGAAAAAAATGATCAAAATTTCATTTACAATGTTGCATGACCGCGCAATTGAATCAAAGTGCGGCAGCGCTGAATGAGCTGAAAATTGGCCTGGTAAGGAAGGGGGGTATAAGTGCCTGGTAGGCAAGTGGTTAAAGTCAAATAAGCAAATAGACGATAGTTTTATGCACCGTGAATATTGTTCACTAAGGAGCTGTGTAGGTTATGTATTCCTGCATATTGCTACACAAATTGGCCCAATGAAAAAGAAATTTCCTTTAAAAAAGAAATCACCACTCAGTGGTGATTTATAAAGCCTAAGTAGGTGACTCTTCATGGCAGAGAAGGGATCAGCATCACGCAATGCAATATGGCAAGTTAACCATCTTGGTTCTTTTCTTGTAGCTCAAGTGAACGGAATTATTATAGGTTACTATATGTAACATGTTCTGGTATAGTAATTCACCAGAGAGTAAAGGCTGTGATCTTGAAATGAAATTTATTGATACTGGTTTGCAAAAATATACTACAGTTGCCATGGTAACGCTTCCTAAAGCCTGTTTTTTTTTTTTTTTTTTTTTTTTTAGTCCCTTATAGAACAGATTTATTTTTATTTTGCAGACATATCAACTTATACAGTAAGATTCTACATTTCCCTAAACAATCAGTAATAAGAAAAGAACCTGAGCTTAAAATTCAGCATTTTTTTCTCTAGCTATTTATTAAAGCAGGTCCACGATACCACCTCATGACAGGAAATTGGGCTGCCTTTCAACACATTAATTATTCTGTGCTAGTAACTGAGCAGAATGCCAATGTTTGATTATAAAAAAAAAGAGAGAACGAATGTTCCATTGATCATGCTGGTTTCAAATGAGTTTCAGGTTTTTGCAGCCTATGTGTTGGGGGTTAGTGTGATTCTTCTAGCTGCTGTTTGATCACATCTGTTTCCCAGCATCTTTTTTTTTTCCTAAAGCCAAAGGAAGGAGTGCACAGGCACATCCTCGGCAAGCTGCTCTCAATCCCCCTCCTGCTATACGTGAGTATTATCTTGTATACTTTCCTTTCACAAGCATTAAGGGGATGACTCTTACATAGCTCAGTCTTCAGCATCTTGTTCTACAGAAAGGACATAATGTCTTCCACTTGGGGTAACTATCACACATTCATATATATTAATTTACTGCTTTACTGTACAGCAGGAACGGAATTGTAGAGTAGAATGTTTGTGGTGTTCCCAAATGTTTTATATATCCCTTTGCATTGTTAACACATTCTTTTATCTCCTTGTATATGTCTAGGTCTGTTTGTGATACTGGTGCTAATGTACTTTCAAATTATAGGTTCACATTGTATTATTATACTTTTTTTTTTTTGCATCCAATAGAATATCAATGGTGAGTGCCTTTAGCAGAATTGTCGGGGCTGAAAGCTGCCAGAAAATGCTGTCAAGTTAAGATTCCATAGCTAGGTTAACATGCAACTTGGCTTTTGTGATCTGGTATTAGCATTTCATATGTGTTGCCTTTGCAGAACAGATTGGGTGGTGCAAGCTTGTCATTAGGGCTAATTAGTTTTAAATGTTTCACTAAATTTAAACAAATGATTGTATGTTACAATAATAAATATTGCCTTATTGATTTAGGATGTCTAAACTTGTCTGCAGGGGTGCAACCAATGGCTTTAGAGATATGAATACAACTATTCACAGTAGATGCTTCTTTGGTGGAAATGAACAGATAAGCCATGAAGGTTACTGAACAGATTTATTGGACTTCTATGCTGGCCTTCTTTAATTTTGGAAGTAGATTAAATAATCAACCTTTGATTA